GAGGGAGGAAGAGAAGGTGAAGGATCCTACGAAACCCGTCTACCATCTTTGCATCATTAATCTGGTCATCGGCACCTTGCACCTCCCTGCACTTAGCCAGTGTACCCTTCTTGTTGCCCATAGATGACCTAAAGGAACCCCACCTGACCTGAGTGACACGCTTGAAAGTTGAAAGCATTTCTTTGTGCGAGGTATTGTACCAAAGGCAACTTCGAATTCGGAATTAGCAGAATTATCAAGTCTTTGGAGCCATACGACTCCCGTCTTTGCTTCAGCTATTGTAAGTTTTCTATACTTTTCCAGATTTTTGGGAGACTGCTCATGCTTTTAAATGCGTTTTGAAGGCATCAATCCAGTTCGAAGGACAAAAAGATTGGGGTAGACACCTGGTACTACGCTAAGAGGTGTATGCTGGCACTGGCAGAGACCTTGGCCAAGAACATGGTGGTGCTCAACGATGAGGTGTTCGATGACACCTGGACGTGCGTGATAAGCTTTACGATGGTTTCCCATGTTTTTATCGATGCCAGATCGAATCTGGGAACCCGATCCTATACTATAGGTAGTGTTTGTGTCAAATTGCTTTAAAGCTCCATAACTTCATGGCTTGAAACATTCAATCATTTCACCCCTCCGTTGACTCATCATACTGTATCTCATTTGCCATTTCCCTTTTATCCCTCATATTCCAGCAGCCACATCTCGCAGCAGTCTTGGAGGATATCATTGCCTTCTTAGATTCGGCTGATCAAGTTGGGAAGAACATTGGGACCACCATCAACGTTGTCGAGGCGGCCAATGAGGATGCCGCATCCAAGCGGACGGTGAGCCAGGAAGCCCGGATGATCAAGCGATTCTTCCTGAAACTCAGAGACTAAAGAGAAAGGCAATCATCGGTATTGTCAGAACTTCGGCCCTTTTATGCAGGGTGCAAGATGTGAGCCTAATAGGTACAGCCTAGGTATGTTTGGAGGTCGCGGTATCGTGCATGGATCCGTTTCACACAGTGCATGTATTTTACAGGTCTCACTGCAGTAAGGCTAGGAAATGGACTCGGCGGCTAATGCGCTCGCTGTGCATGGCCACAAAAAGGGTCTTTTGCTGTGATCAAGTGTCGCGTAATGCAGCGAGTGGTCATGGTCCTGATGGTCACCACTCCCTTCTTCCCTGGCCCCTCTTTTGAGCAGACAGGTTTGGCATTGTATGTCTAGAATCATGGTTACTGCTTCAAGCTGAAGTCGGTTTACAGTTTTCCACGAAGGACGTATGTAGTTGCGTCATTCATCCCAACCCTGCGAGGCGACAGGAGGCCCGGCAGGAGCCACAACCGCAGCCACAACCAGAGCAGCTGCTCGGCAAAAGCATTTGGCTCCCCCAACCTGTTTACTCTTCGGCAACTTTAACTTTTGCTCCGATATACTCATTACTTTGTCTCATCAAGCTTGGCTTTGACCACTGATATCCACTGATCACTGATATGAGACTAGTTTGTAGATGTTTCTGGTACATGTTCCAGATTTGTTTGCCCCGACACTTGCTCAAAGACAACCCGAGATAAATACACGTTAATGTTTCCTTACTGACCAGCTGCAGGCCCAAAGAAAGAATTCTGTTTCCTCCGGCTCGCTTGTGCTTCTGCGCGTGATGCAATGCCATTTACTCTCTTTGACAAACCAGTTGTTCTTTAGCTTCGTGTTACTAGTAGTAAGGCCAGGAGCCCCTAGTAGCGTCCCCGGTTACAGGACTAAATCGGTGCAGGTGGGCCACGGTGAAAAATCAGACTTGTTCCAGATCGATTGACAGATAGACGCCTTGAAGCAGCTGCTTCATCCGCAGTTTTGGCATAAGCTGGCACCTCCTGACATAACTTTTGCACGAGTCAACCAGCCATGCTGAGCCAAAGTTGGTAGCCACACAGCCCTCCAGCCTCTACACACACCCTGTGACTGCAAGCAATCGACCTGCCCTTTACTCACAAGGCTTCCTACGATCAGACTGGTTTGTGAAGGGTCATAATTGGTGGAAGGGAAGCCAGAGTACGCGGTGGCATATCATAGCCTTCTTTACGCAGTGTGGGCGTGTGTCGTTTTTCTCCCGTCCAGACTTGAAGACAACCACCCAGAAAAGGCAAATTGCACCCACCAACAGCCGCAGAGATTCCATGATTCCATGACCTGTCATGATGTTCCATGATTCTACCTTACTTCCAGCATGCACTTTTCCTCCCAGCTTCTCCATTCCAATCCGCTTTGACCATGCGCCGTTTTGATGCAGCATGGCGCCCCCTGCGGCCGAGCAGTTTCCATACGTGGCCACGCAGTTTTGCCTCGGCCGCGGTGTGGCAACGCCGGGCAGTGCGGGGCTTTGGAGGCAGATGGAAGGATCGCAGTCAGATGAGGGTGGGACCATGCTCCAGTCTAAGAGTCTAAAGGTACCTACATCAGCAACGCGTGATGTGTGGACAGCTTTGAAGCCTCAGGGAGTTGCTGAAAGCAAAGCCGTTGCTCGGCCAGGTCTTGCCCTCACAGCCTCCACAATTGGCATTGCGACTCTTGTGGATGAAGGCGTGTCCGGTTTGTGGTCCTCGTGCAACTGGTAACGAAGATAAGATGATGGTTGAATATCATGCGCCAGATTTCACATGTCGCAGGAAGAGGGCACAGATGAAGAACAGACCCTGAGTCCTGGAGTCACAGGAATGAATTGATGGGACTCTACCATTAGCTGAGCAGGAATTCCACACATTTTGCTTGGTCCAAAAAGAGAGCCCCGTGAGCCCCGCTACAGGTTGCCGGCGCTGTGCGGACTTTTGGATTTGTGTTTTGCCGATCTTCGCGCATTTGGGCCGCAAGAGGGGTGAAGAGGGAAACAGATGGACTGGGCATGAAATGATATGAATGTGGGGATCTTGGGATTCAAGGTCTTACCTTCGAAAACTGGTCTGCAGCGCTGGCTGACGCTTCGAAGTGTTCATGTGTCGAGGGTTGTTGCTTCCAGCATGTGGCAGCTCAATCGACAGCCCGATCTGAATGAACCGGGGCACCACCATGCACAAGTCTGTGCATCCACATTGTAACATACGTTATATACATTACTAGTACCCAGATGGAAAGAAGAGCTTCTTGACTTGATGCAAACACCCTTTGTATGAATGCAGGATGCTTGCCGAATGTCACGTGTTTGGTCCACAAGTTTATCTTGCAACAGAACCAGCTGCCACATAGCTGGAGTCAGAGGCTGCTACCTGTAGTTTGGTGCAGATGCGATGAGATCCGTGGGTTTGAAATAGCTGACATTTGACGGGTTTTGGGAGGCACTACAAATTCGTCGACCGCATCTCCCATCCAAGCGCTACGCCCGAGAGAGCTGCGGAGTTCGCCGCTGGGAGCAATAGTCAAAAATGGCTGGGGAGCCATATGCAGCACACTATAAACCACAGTAGATTGTTGTATACGGTATAGGTCAGATACCCATTGTGAAGACTGCGCCGTGACATGCCAGGGGGAAAAATTGAAAAAGGTTTGTGAGATTGTGAAGTGTGCGCCGGATCACTTTGTATAGTTTGAGCTTGTGCCAAATCATACATTTTGAGTTTGAGTGACTTCACCGACGAACGCCCAAGGAAAGGCTGCATGAGATTTATTCCCCGATCGTCCGGGATGCAACTCTTCGACTCCGCGGCTACTACCTAAAAGTTGCACAGTTTTTCTCCATGCAGCCAGGCAGAATTGATTCAAAAGGATATTGTGGTGGGCCTCGGGCAGTTTTGGTCACCAACCAGGGCACCAGCAGCTACGTTGCGTTTGTTGGAAGATCCTGGAGGCCGCCAGGCCGCTAGGATGCATCCTACTGAGCATGTAGAAACTCGGGCTTTTACACCCCACAGAGGGTCTCTTCCTTTGGTCCTTGGCTCCCTGACTCGATGAATCAGTTCCCATTGACGCCCATCCATGAGGTCAAAAACTTTGGGCCCCGGCAGGTACAGTGCCTCTATCAACTTGTTCAATCATTCCTGGAGGCGATAGTCATACAGTGCTTGTCCAAAGTGCTGGCAATGCCGCTGCTTGCGTAGACGGTTTCCTTACTTGTGGACAAAGTGACATGCCAGCTTTGGATGCAGGAATTAACACACGCACACGTTTCAGGAGGTGGTATGCATACAGTGCTTCTCCGAAGTGATGGCAGTGCTGTTACTTGCGGAAAGGATGCTAACGCTCCTAACGGGCGATGCAGCATTGCTCCCTTGAATGAAGGTGTGATACACGTTCCTGATTTCGTTGGAATTGCTGTATGTAGGAGAAGTCCTTATTTTGCAGGCGCGCTTTCTTCAGGACGATGATGGAACGGTTATGTCGTGCTTGGGTTTGGATAGACTTGAGCTTGTGAGTTTGATAGGCAGTGGGGTTGAAGGCTAACCAGCTCCAGCTGCGTGTAGGCTTGCCAAATGGACAGCTGTTGGAACACTTGCAAGTGCACTTGAATTAGCAGCGCACATAAGATAAATGGTGGAGTTTTCTCGAAGGGGCGGTGCGAGGGCACGCAATGTAACGAGGCCAGCGCTAGTAGGTTGGAGGCCATCGGTATTAGGTTGGATGATCATCCCTTTTGGTACGTTAGAGGCCATCGCTGGATCAAAGGGCATGATGACCTTTTGGTTCTTGATGATTTGCAACGTAGTTGCGCATCGGGCGGCTGATGTTTGCATGAAGTCCTTTCCCTCCCTCACCGGGGACTGGGGATCAGCCGTGAAAGCTAGAGCAGATGGCTCACCTTGAGGAGTTTATCGACTTTCTCTTGCGCTGCAGAACATCCACATCCACCGTGCCAGACTTTGTGCGCCCACAAGAGCCACATCCCAACGCGCACAAATTCTCGCTCCAGATGGCCGCTTGGCGGGTCTACCCTTGGCATTTCGATTTAAGCTTAGGTCGTGCCAACTCCTTTTTTGGCCTACTCCAATTGGGGGACTGAACTGTCGCAATGGGTCCTTGAGTGGTTACATGCCCTTCGATGGCCTCAACATACCCATGCTCTGGCCAGTGCAGATGTCGGCATTTCCTGGAGATTGTGCTGAGGAGAGAGGTGGGAACAGGTGAAATGAGCTTTGCCCTGGCAATCAGTGGAATGAGTGTGCTTCTCAATTTGCGAGTGTTGTGGGTCAAGCCATTTCTTTGTGTGGGGTTCAGCTGATTCCAAGCTTTGGTAAGCGTGCTCGCATTTGCTTTTTGTACCGACAAGGTGCTGGTTCTTGCGTGTTTGGATGGTCACACAGACCTGCCTTCCCTGAACCATCTCTGCTGAGTTCCAACACCATGTAAAACCACTGGCATACGGGTGGTGGCCGAAGCTGGACGTGAATCCTGATCAGGAGGCTTGTCGATTCTCTTGGTCGCCACCCGGTGGCTCGCATAACGTGCAACCGAAGGTGAAACAGGGCAACAAACTTGCTAAGGCGATTCGTGAGGCTGGTAGATGATGGGGTCCTTTTCATTGACTTTTTGTTCTGAGCTTGGCCTGCTTGCATCTCGCGCTGCGAAATTAGATTTGATCCGTAGTAACCGACTGCCATCCAGCCCTTCCCCGCCACTTGCTAGGGGGGTCTCCCTTCTGCAAGTAAAACGCCATCGCTAGTAAGCCGCTAGTAGGTTGGATCGATATTAACTAGTATTAGTAGGAGGCACCGCTAGTAGGTTGGAGGGCATTGCTATTGGGTGGGAGGCCATCGCTATTCGGTTGGAGGCCAGCGCTAGTAGGTTGGATGATCATCCGGTTGTCAACAACGGCCAGTCAGACCCCAAGTCGTGGACCCAGCAGGCTGCAAGCACTTGCTTCGTCCTAGGCGGGATGACTACGTCCCGAAACAATATCTTGATTGGGCCAAAAAGCTCCAGGCACCACAGTGCTTGAATGAGAATGTGAAAGCGGCCACTGTCACATGACATTTGTAGGGTGTTGTTGATGTGTGGGAAAGCCGATTGCTGGTTTTCCAGATCTTTGGTCCAAAGAGCTTGCCGTCAGAACTGACCCTTTGGATTAGTAAGCAAGAATGCTTTCATGATGTTTGATGTTTGATGTTGTTAGAGACTGCAGTCAAGAAGTCTTGACTGAAATGGATCCACAGCAACATCCCCACAAATTGCACATGCCCACAGTCTGCCCACCTGCAGGCAGAAGCCCCCGTGGCCTTGGACGCAGAAGACGCAAAGCGCTGTGTGGCCAAGGAACTAGGGCTAGGCGTGGGAGCAGAAACAGGGGCCTAGATGGAGCCATTGTTGATACCAAGCCAGTGTGGCCCTTCCAGTATCCCTTCGTTTTGTGCCTAGGGAAGGGGCATTAACATGGCTTTGCACATGCTTTTGGTGAAGAGAAGCTCGCTTCATAATGAAAACAGTTATGCATGCGTACCTAAGAATACAAGACATGGTAATGCTCCCTTAGCTACGACCTGGAGGGGTTTCGCCACAGGCCATGTGGACGAAGCCTTCAAAGACTGGAGTAGTAAGCCAATTGGCTCTGCCTCCATTGGACAGGCGCTGGGGATTCCCACTCGGGATTCGCCGTTCTCAATGGGGACGGAGATGGACGGAGGGAAATGGAAAGCAACGACAGCAGCATGCAGCAGCCTTCACACTAGCAGCCTAGGTTTGGCTAGAGTTGAGAAGTAAGGCCACGCAAGGACTGGTTCTTGGACTAAGGCTCGCCCCCAAAGTCCCTGTCAGGTCTACTTAGCGCGGCTTCGTTCGACGGGTGAAGATGTCGCTATCAAGGCGCTGGCTTTCTTGTGTTTTTTTTTTGGGGGGGTCAACTCCGGGTCAACCGTTATAGGCACTTGTTCTTCTTTTTTTGTCCTTTTCACCTCTGTCTACCCACAAGCATTCGCAGGAGACATCACGTCAAATCAGGGCATGCTTTGCCCCCTAATGTGTTGCAGGTGCAGATGCCCGGCGCGGAGCGGCTCTTCCGGGTGGACATCCGGACGCTGAAAATCTTCACGCGTCTCTCAGCTTGACAGAGCTTTGATCTGGATGGAATCTGGTGGCTTCGAACTTCCAAGTTTGATTCAATCGCCAGCCACCCATTCGGAGCAAGAGCGTTGGGTTTTCACTTGGATGGGAAGAAAACTGGGACATCCTCATTTCTCCAAGGGCCACCCCGGCAATATATAATATAATAGCGATCAACATATGGGGGAAAACTATGTTATTTATACGATTAAGTTATATTCAGTTAATTGGGTATATACTAAATAGTTGCATCCTCGGTGCTTGCACGTAGAGCCAAGGACTCGCTTTTCCCTGGGCCGTCGACCACATCAGCGAGCTAGATGCTTTGCTGATTTGCTATGCCCAGCCATGCCTGAGCCATGTGACTCCAAGCATTTTCTGTGTGAAAGTGTTATTGGAAAGGTAACAGGATTAGCAAGGCCCAGCAGTGGGGTTGCTGTTTCTTTTAAGCAACGATTGACCAATATAGGCTACTTGCAAATGTCAGTCACTCATAGTCACTCTGATCGAGATATAAATTTCCTGAAGGTGTTTCTCATCCGGGTTGGCATGCTGGGGCTGTTAGGATGAACTCGTCAAGCCTCACACGGGCAAGCTCAGCTTCAGGAGAAGATGTTTGAATCAGAGTTCGACTACACCCTTGAGCGTGAGAACATGGAGAAGGTCCGCAACAATGTGAGCCAACGTTGGGGTGACCGTCAGGGACTCAGTAAAAGCTGTCTAACGGTTGTTTTGCACAAGAAGCGTTGGCGCAGGCATGCATGCGGCAATTCCACACCATTCCCGCAAAGCATACATTTGTACTGAGCACTGGCACGGCCACATTGATAGGCTTTTGTTGTCGCCAGCACAAGACCGTTCCGGCACGCTGCAAATATAGGAAACACGCGCATATCAGTATGTTCATGTATATATATATATAATATATATATAGATTATATAAATATTAACATAACTTAGAATTTAGTAATTCAATGAGATATATGTATTCGTGCTTGTCATCCATTGTAGCAGGCTTGCCCTCGGCATTTGTCACCAACTTAACAGACTTTGCTACTCAAGAGGCCCGCTGCAACTGGTGTTTCCTCTGATCCACTTGAGACGGGTGCCGAATAGCTTCGCTGAGGAGTGATCATCCCCAAGACCTTCCCAGAGCTGTGCACCAGAAGAGTGCTAACTATGGCAGCTCGCCGTCGTTCAACATGGAATGCCGATTCAACATGGGATGGCCATGCATTGGGCCGTTTCGAATAGGTTGTAATTTAGACAGGCTCTTTTTACTGCTGGTGATGGTTTGGTGCTTGAACTCTGAGTTGCAAGTTCATAAATCTATATAAATCTGGTAAACTCTGAGTTGGAAAGTCATAACATAAATCTGGTATTCCTTCTTGTTTTACGTAATGCACATATACATATTGTATAAATATATAAATATGTATAAGTATATATACATATGTATTTTGTCAAAACGATCAGTTATAAACATCGTCGTGGAGTGCTGCCCCCATCCCAGCAATTCCTGGACGGTGAGAAGCTCGTGGATGGTATGCTCCGGCGTGTCCGAGTAGCAGCCCAGCAAGCAAACCGTGATCCCGATGAGTGGCCCGGCGAACGTTCGACGTTCTTGCTCTTCCCGTGTTGGGTGGTGATGTTTGCGAAGGTGCATGGTTACATCGGTGTAGGTTGAGAGTGACTTGGTAAATAAGTACAGTATGACAGTATATAATATGCTTGGAACCTCCTGACTCTCACAGGTTCCTCTCACAGCACCTGGAAGCTCTCCGGACCGGGAAGCTGATGCCACGCAGTGCTGGGGACCCAGGAGATGCCCAGTGTGGATTCGAGGGTGTGAAGCTCATTGACAACAGATCGAACCAATGAATGCATATCATGAGTTGCATACACACAAGGGCGCAGGCACTTTATCCACTGAATCCAAAATCACAGGCAGCCTGGGGATGCTTACGACTGTCAGGCCGGCAAGGATCCCAACAGGATTTTAGTTGCACTATCAATCCAGAAGGGTTCAGCTTGATGAACCCGTTGTTTCCACCCTCATCATCACATCATTTCACGAGGACTCAGCTGAACCAAGGCCAGTTCGGCGCGGTGGCGTGCTAGCGTTTGGAAGCTCTTGCAGCGGGTGCGAGGGGAACATGATATCAACCTTCCAGCCTTGATGGAGCAGCTGCTGGGACGAACAGGGAGGTAACGGTGTTGCCCAAAACCATGCAGCCCTTCTATGCGGTTTGATGGCCTTTGGTTTGGCTGGTAGGGCCCAGGCTCCTCATTTGATAAGTCCTAATACCCCTCTTTTGGCTGAGGTCATTGCTGATTTTGACTTGCTTTGGTGCTTTGCGTCTCAGATCCTCCACCCCAAATGCAAATCACTGTATGGACCTTGTGTTTTTCTATGTGGTTTGGATTGTTCAGTCTTGGGCATGTGAGCAGATCTGGAATATAGATGAATATAGAGGTTGGCATGTTGCCAAAGACACTCTTAGAACTTGAACCGAACATTTGCTTAGTAACAAGAAGCTAGTAGTAACAAGTGCCACGCTAGTAGTAACAGGTGCCTTACTAGTAGTAACAAGAAGCTAGTAGTAACA